AACAGCTTTTCTCACCTTTATTCGAAATATAATTGTATCCTTCTAGCTTTAAAATGAAAGCTAAAACTGGTTTATCAGCTACCTATTTCCCTTTACTCTTTCAATCTCTGCTAGTCCATAAATGGTCTCCTTTCCCTAACCCACCCCTGTAGCCAAATAAATCTCCCTGGGAATGAATGTAAGAGCAAAAAGTACTGCTAATGAAATAATGATGAAATAATTAACTCAGATTAAATAATACTCTTCAGCACCCCAACAGGTGCTAATTTTCTCCTTGTCTGCCCTTATTCCTACAAGAAAGGGAGAAGAAAAAGCCTCTCAGGTATCTCTGCTCTAGATGATTCCTTAAAAATCCAAGGCCCAACTCACCCACTCCCTCAGGGAATGTCCTGCCAGCAGCCTGTGTGGAGCACAGGAATTCATGGAGGCTTCACTCCCTGGCTGAACCTTCCCAGCTGCTCTTCACTGACACAGAACACTCCTGTGAATGTCTCTTCACGGGGTGGATTTGGTGTGGATTTACTTTACCTCTCCTTTCCCAGTTAAACAAAAAGAGCACGTCCATCTCCCTGCTGGGAGCCCATTGTCTAGAATCAAACAGGTATGGCACTGTTTGATGAACAAACCCAGCTCACCCAGCTGGAAAGGCCTTTTTCCTTCCAACAATATTGTGTCCACACAGCCATGCCTTGACTGCCAACAGCGATGGCATCAGCCAAGAGCTTCCTTGTATTTATTGGCTTTGCCTGCAGGAAGCACGTCCTGGTTCACAGCTCCAGCAGTTACAAAGGTGAGAGTCCTTTGGATGTTCCACCAAGACGAGGATTAAAACATTTCCTTAAGCGGTCTCTGTCCCAAAACCACAGCAGAAACACTCTGGGAGGGCTGAATTCAGCCTCATGTTGAATAAATGTCCTCTCCACACCAATGCCAGTCATGGTTAATGCATCCTGTGGTATCTCACTGGGATCACTCTGAGTTTTCAACAGCACAGAGTCAAGAACCGGCTTCAAACTGTCCTCCAAAGTCACCCCTGAGTTGTGGAAACAGCTCTGCGGGTCTACACATAGCTGGCATCTCCCCATTCTTCCCCACCCTGACTTAAATCAGATGGGCAAAACCTGGGTGGTTCAGCTCACCATGAACTTTCCCAGCTGGGGCTATGAGGCAGGACCAGTGAGCGACACAGAAAGGCAAAGGCAGGTCCCTGTTTGAAGACACTCATTCCTCTGCCACTGTCTGGTTTGTCTGCTGTGACTTCAAGGCCTTTATCTGACAAGCAGCAGCTCCGTCAGCATCAGACCCTGAAGGCTGCAGGGTGTTGGGGGGTCACACCCAGCTTCCAGCCGCTAAAAAAAACTTCTTGTGACCTTTTCGTACCTATTTCAGGTCTCCGAGATTAAAAGGCAAGAGCTTGCTAGGAAAAATAAATAAATAAATAAATAAATAAATAAATAACCAGCCCAGCCCAGAAGCCGCCCTATATCAATCCTTAAAGGGCAGAGCAGCAGGATGCTCTGGCACTTGATAACGTTACCTGTGTCACACAGCAGTGCTTTCTGCTGACTCAGGATCAGCCTTGACACGCTCAGAAACCACTGACTTTTCAGTTCTCCTCTCCTGCTTTCCTTTTCTCTCCCTGTGTATCTTTCCAAAGCCCATTTCCCGGGTATTTTTCACCTGCTTTTCCCACTCAGCCTTATTTGTTCCATGTTTGTTTTGTTTTTATTTTTGGTTTTTTTTTTTTAGTTTACCTGCCTTGTTACTGCTCCTTAAATACAGTTATTTAAGAGGTTTGCACTGTGCCACACCAGCCAAACCTGCACATCCAACACTCCAGTTTAAGCAGTTCAGCACTGCTGTTTAAACCCCTTTCTGGCTGAGCAAGTGTTTATGCCCGGATTAAATCAACATGGAAAGACCCAAAAAGGATGTTCTAGTCAGATTTAAACATGCATGCACACATGGATCCCCAGACTCTTGACCAAATGTCTGCCTGTCTAAAATACATCCTAATACATTTCTGTCCCTCCAGGAAGGCTGCATACACACCACTGTAATCTCCTGTTTAAACTCTGGTTGTTAAATGCATTTTATTTGCTCTGGGCTCTTGGTCCTTGTTTTACACCTGCACCAGTGCAGGACTTTGAAGGCAGAGAGGTCCCCTTGGGTATTTTGTCAGAGCTTCCTCACCGTGCAGCCAAAAACCAAAGCCTGGGCTGAACATCTTGATGCCTCCTCAGTTCTCTGCTCTGCTCCTTGTCTTTGCAATGCAGCTCTAACCAAATTACCCACCATCTCCCCTCCTACACGGGCAGCACAAACAACCCTTGACTTCCTTGGAAACGGGGCTGGCTTTAATTGCACTGACAGTGCCTTGAAATTCTCAGGTGGGCAAAGCATTTATTCCACCCTGAGCTGCCTCAGGACGTGGTGTTAACACACATGGCCTCTTATCTGCTCCTCACTCACCTCCCTCGAGATATCAAGTAGCAACAAATAGCAAGAAAATCCTTTTCCTCCCCAGAACTCCTTTTCATTCCACGGTTTATTTCCGTGAGATGCCTCCCCCTCAGCAAGGCAATCCTCTGCTGTGGCAGAGACCAGGCTTTAACCTGGTGTTTACTGTTTTAAAATTGGACAGGCTTGCCTTGAAATAAAAGAAGGGCATCATTCCCTGACCAGCTTTACCATGTTTCAGCAAATTATTCCAGGAACAGTAAGTCCATACAAGGGAATTCTACCTCGAAGGGGAGATTCTGAAGGAAAATGAGCTGTAAACATCAACTCAAACCTGCACTAACTTCAAAGCTTAAAAGGGAAGAGAGCAAAGCACCTGGCGAGACACAGAGAGATCCCAATCTCCCCTTCCAGGACAATTCCCCCATCCTGAGCCTTCGGTTCTTTGTGTGTAGAATGATTTGTCCCCAGTTAAATGTCTTTTTATCCAGGGCAGTGCATACAGCAACTCTCAGGTGGCTGGACCCAATGAATCCAGGCATCCTCTGACAACTTGAAAGGAAGATCAAAGGCAAACTCAGGACAAAGAGGCAGGTGAATTAAGGCGGCAGCTCTCAGCCCTGCTGGATTTAAGGCACCGTGGTGGCTGCTGTTCACTCCTGCAGGGGTGAGTGCACTGGAATGATCCCCTGGCATGGGTTTGGGATGACCCAGGTAGCTCCCACGTGCTGAGCCGTGCAGGTCACTGAGAACAAAGGTCAGCTAAAACCCTTTTTGCCATCCCACGATGGATTTTAGGTGTTTTACAGGGCTGTGTGGCAATTTAGGTCACTTAAACACATAAAACCTTTTCCCGTACTGACACGTGAACACAAATCACTTCTTTTGCCACTCGGCATAACGTGGGTTGTTTGCCCCTGGACCAGCTGGATGGGCAGGGTTTCTGATAGCTGGACTAACCCCTCAATCTGCAAAAACAAAACTTCTGTTCCCAAGAGGAATTACTGAGGTTTCTTGCAGGAGAGAGCTGAACTGCAAGGGGACAAACATTTCAGCTGAGGAGGCCCAAGAAGTGTACTTGACATAAAAATCAGACCATTATTTTATTCTATGCTCTGCAAGTTCAAATTTTTTTATTTTTTTTAATTTTTTTTTTTTTATGACAGAGATTCTAATTTCCAAAGGTGTTGGCACCCTCAGTTGCCATTGTGCAGAATCATTGCTCACATGGCCATTAATTAAGGCTGTTGTCAGCACTTCCATTCCAAACCTGCCTTTTAGGAGTTTATAACTCAGCCATAAAACTCTGCTCTGGGCTGAAATCTATCATGAAAGGGTCTGCCTGGAAGGAATCCATCCTTTTGTATTTGAGAGTCCCAAAAGCTTATGGCAGCAAACTCGGGATTTTATTCTAAAGGCTGCCATTCCCAAACCTGGGCTGCTTTTGTGAGTGCTGGGTGAGCTGTGCCTGCTGGACTGGCTCTGGGAGCTCCCTGACAGGGTGGGCTTTGTCCTCTCAACGTTGTAAATTGGAGGAATTATGAGGGTTTATGCTTCAGGGCTGAAGCCTGGGCTTACTTTAATACCAGTGAACACCTCTGCCCTCGCTGTTCCCCCCAGGAGTATGATCCACGTGGATCACCCACCCTTCTCTCCCCACAACCTTCACTGGGCCCAATTCATACTCCAGTGCTCAGCTAAAGAGATGGAATTTGTCTCCCCAGGAGCACAGGTTAGGTTATAAATGATCCTCAAGTCCACTAGTAGTAGTATTTTCTTACCTTTTTTTCAGTCTCTTACTGAACAGGAAGTTTGCACAAAGCATCCCAAACTACTTTTTGCAGAACAAAAAGTTTTGAGTGGACTGCTCTTTGCAGCCCAATGGAGCAGCTCCTGATTTCTACAGTGGCCACATCTATGAAGCACACACAGAATCAGACTCTGGACTGTCCCCCTCCTTCAGTTCTCTGCTCCCCAAGAAGTTTCGTGGCTCTACAGGTTAATTTTTCTCGTACCTGCCAGGCTCAGCTACTGCACCCTGATCTGGCAATTCAGCATAAAAGAGACTTTTCAAAGTTCTAGTCTGTTTTTTTTCCTAGTGCAAATTTCTGCAGCTGTGTTTTTGAAGGATTAGGAAAGTTCATGACTACTGGCAACACGTATAAAGATAATGCACCATGCTCAGGGTATCAACTGGCCCAGAGGTCACAAAGAAATATTCATGTTTCAACTGGTTATCTTCCATTTAAGCATTTTCACCTTCTTAGGACCAGAGTAAACATATCAAAACTAATGATGGGCTTTCTTTACAAAGCCAAAACTCTCTTCCAACATGCTGTTTCCCCCCAACAGCTTTCCCCAAAATAAAAACAAAGGAGAGGGTGTGTGGCAAGGGGAGAATGAGGAACAAAGGGAGGAAGAAAAAAAAAAACCACAGCACCGATAGAAACAGTTCATTTACATCTCACAGCATCCATATGCCAGTAACCATATCATAAACTCTTAGCCTACCATACAGAGAGGGTGCCCCAAAATGGTACCTGCAAGAGGTCTCTCGGAAGGAGATGTTTAAATCCCAGTGGGTGTGTATCCTGTCAACAGACAAACAAACAAACAAACAGAGAGGTCAGTGGCACGGGCTGAATGCTGCACGTCTTGCTGCTTAAAAGATCTGCTCGGCCCGTGACAACCCACCCAAAGCCAAACCCCACGAGGAGCCCACCTGCACACGCCTGGCAGGCCCCCCAGGTGAGCTGTGGAGCACTGACAGACCTTCTCCCTGCTGCATGCAGGAGGTGGAGGGACTGCAGGATGTCGTCTCAACTCCCAGGCCCCATTCAGAGGAAGCAGGACGAGCTCAGCACTGATATTTTACGAAGAGAACCCAAATCTGTCTGTGCTGTGTCCCCTCCTCCGCACCCGCCCCAGCTGTAAATAAATTATTAGCAATTTCCCACCTCGGAAATTAATTTCACATACTCTGTCACTCTGCCTGCTGACAAGAAGCAATAGCAGATTCTAGACGAACAATATCCTAAATTAAGACAGAGCAGCCAAGGGGGTTGGTTTTTTGATGGATTTCTTTTTCCCCCTTTGCTTCCAGACAGCATCCACCCCAACCCAGAGGGAAAAGGCGGATGCTTGACCTTCTGTGGTCTGGTGTCTCCTCTCAAAACCAGGGAGCACTGATCTCCCCTGGCTCAGGGGAGGTCTGTGACCACCACTGTGTCTCCACGTCGTGGTGATCGATGGCAACCCCAGCCGTCTGAGAGCAGCCTGGCAAGCGAGTCCCTATCCTTGCACAAACCCTCCCAGAGCCTGCCAGGGAACGTGCTGCGTCCCGGCTGGGCAGGCAAATCACCTCCTGCAGACGCAGCTCCCCAAAGGGCTGCAGACATCCATCCACGAGCAGCAGAAACCAAACGCACCTCTCGCACATTTTGTGTAGAGCCCTGCAGCAGCTCCTGCCTCTGCCCCCAGCAGAAGGTGTGTGGCTGCAGAGCATCTGCTGCAGGAGGAGCCTCACCTAAAACCTGCTGGGGTAAGAGAGAGCCCTTCCCCCCGATCTGAATGGGCTGTGAATTGGGCCAGAAAACACTTCACCGTGACCAGAGCAGTCGATGGGGCTTCACTCAGGTTTGAGTGTCTGTTTAAGTGCTTTCCCGCTCCAGCCTAGTCCTGAAATTACCTGAGAACAACTCTCAGCACGGAAATAATTTCACGTCCAAGACATGCTGCTGCTGCCGGTTTTACTAATGTGATGGCACAGCTTTTGTGCTATTCCTGCAGGTCTGGCTAAGAACGGGAGTCTGGTTATTCTTCTAGGGGTGAATAGTTCTTTTTATAGATATTAACGTCCACCAATAAACCCATTCTCAGAATTCTACTTAGCAGTGCCACATGAGCCTAGTTTTTCCTATTTTTCTTCCTCATATATACCAGTTTAGAAAACCTATCCCAGCTTTCCACCTTCCCAGCATTTCATTTGTGACTAGAAATGGAGCAGGCTCTTCCCAGCTCCTGAGCTCACAGCAGGAACAGTTGCTCTTCCAAGTTAAAATTCAGAAAATGCTTGAAAACGTTCTGGAAAGGACAGGTCAAAGTGGGCCATTGAGTAAAACTTCCATGAGCTGAAGTCTGGTCAAACTCTGGCACATATTTGGACTCTCTGGAGCTCACAATATTAGCACACATCCATCTGTTACAGCAATACCTGGCAGGGCAAAGGTGGTTTTCATCCTGGGAGGATCCTCAAGCAGGAAGGATCCTCAAAGCAGGGCTGCAACATTTCTTTGACTGATATAATAATGTATTATACTATAGTATAGTACATTATATTATATATACCTAAGGTACCTATACCTATTTTTAAGATTTTTATTTATATATATAAACAGATATATCTAAAATGTATATATACACACCTAATATATATATACACACATACCCAAAAAATATATACATACACACCTAAAAATTTTATAGAGCACTTTGTGAGAGAGGGATAAGCAGGGTGGGGGGAGGGAAAAGCTCATCCCAAAGGAACGGCTCGGATCCACACCGAGGCCGAAACATCCATCTGCCGAGATGGATAATTAAACACTCATATCTAGACAAATGAATAGGTGAGAATGAAATTAAATTCTCATTATCTTTTCTTTTGGGGGGGGGGGGGGGGAAGGAGGGAGGGACAGGGAGCAGAACCAACACTGCGCTGGGCCGTTATCACCAATTAGATTTCTGAGCCTAATGTACATCTTGTTTTAACAGGTTATTCATCCCATTGAAATCAAATTACTAATAATTTGCAAAGTATCGCCTACACAAGCCTGTCCTTGGGTTGTATGAAGAGTGGTGAGCAGGAGCCAGTCCCTTACAAATTAATAACAGAAAAGCAGGGGCGGGGAAATAAAAACCGCGGCCGGGCAAGGGAAGGAGCTGCAGCTGCTGCTTCTCTCCCACCTCCTCACCCACCTTGAGGGCTTGGACATGGTGTGGTCAGTTAAGTGTTCCATAAAAATGACCAAATGAGTCCCATAGGAACGGCTCCCTGAAGAGCCTGGTCAGCTGGGAGGGGGGGTCTGAGGGGGAATTCACTACCTGCTGCATCAGGAGGGGCTGGAATGTCAGGGTTTGGCTTGTGCAAAGAATTAAACTGCTTATATACGTATGTGAACCCAAAAAAAAATACTAACAGGAAGGTCTGAGGCTGTTCAAGGCATCTCTGGAGCCTGGACTGGAATGAGAATCCAGCCCAGAAAAGCAAGTGGCAGAGGTGGAAAACTAATGGAGAGCAGCTGGGATAGGTTTTAATTTTTAAGTTGTTTCCTTCCCTGATATTTCTCTTTTACTCCAGCGGTCCCTGCAAGATTTCAACACCAGAGTGGCCCTGTGGAAGGGGCCAGCAGTGAGCCAGGTGTCTCCCTAACATCCTGTCACCCTCATTCCCAGCACTATGGCCAACCTGCTCCCTGTGCTGTCCCAGGGACACACTGCAGGAATTCAGGGAACCCAGACACATCCTATGGAGTGTGGGGAACACTGGGCAGCACCCAGCAACAGGAACAGGTCATTACTGCCAGAAAAACCCATTACAGCACCAGCTCTTACTCACAACTGTCCCTTCCTACTCCCCCTTAATTATAAGGCCAACACTTCCTTTGGATGGAGTTTGTCCAAACCTCTCAATTTTCTTGGCCACAGAGAAGAGAAAAATATTGACAAGGTTTTCCCACATCCTCTGGTTTAGGAGTCTGCCCTGAAGGGACAGTGCTGGTAAAAGAGAGAATTAAGGAACTTCTGTGCAATGGGCACAGCCCAACCCCACTGGGATCACTGGGAATTCAACAGGCCCTGGGTACCACCATCATGGAAACACGGAATTCACAGTGCTGCAGGGGAGCAGTTTGGGAAGATGGACCTGCAGGAGCCGTTCTGCTGGATGCTGGGACAGAGCTGGCTTCTCTCTCCTCCCTGCTCTTCACAATTTCACTGTCTCCTTCCAGCTTCCAGAGTCTCCCTATATCCAAGTCAGGCTATTTTCAGACAGCCAGCGTTAAGAAGCACGTGCAGGCAATGAGCAGGGGTTCAGGAAACCTCATCCAGGATGGCTGGAAGAATGGTCCTATTAGAGCAATACTGAGAGCCTGGACTTGGGGCATCTGGGTTATTCTCCACCATGGAATTGATGTCCCATACAGGGAGACAGGGAGAGCAGCCAAGAGCACTTGTGTGTCAAGGTTTCATTTCCTTTCACTCTTCACCTTTCTGGCAGGTCTTTTATCTTCCCTCCTGGACAAGAAGGGGAGTTCTGGCTGTTTATTATATTTCATCCTGCAGCATCCCTGAGAAGTGAGTAGCCATTTTCTCTCTCTCTTCTTCTTCTCTCTCTCTTCTCCCTCAAATCTACGTCCTCATTAGGTCAGGGACAGCCTTCCTGGCACTCTGGACCAAGTCCAGCCTTTGCTTCCCAGAGGGATCTTTAATATACTTATTCAATCCAGTGACTGTTGTTAAGTGGTGCACGGTTCAGAGGGAAAGGGGGAAGGAGGGAGGAAAGAGAAAGGAGAAGAGAAAATAAAGAGCTGCAGAGGGAGGAAAGACGGACTGATGGAAAATAACCAGCGAGAGCTGTGAAGAAGTGTCACAAAGCAGCAAAATGTGTCTCCAGCCACAAGAGGGGCCCTGCCTCCCTCTTCTCGAGTCCTGGCAATTAGGAGAAGGGCTGTCGAGTCTAATCTGAGAGCCTGAGTCCCGCTGGAGCCCAGAGCCCTGCCCTGTCACGTCTGTCTCCGGTCGTGCAGAGCCTGGCAGAGCCCTGGCAGCTCCGAGCAGCGTGGTGTGGCACACCCTGCCACGGAACCGAGCTCCAAAGGGAGCAGGGATGTCACCCAGCTCTCATCCCAGGTGGGCTGCTCAGGGAGCATTCTGGGAAGAGGTCAAGAGAGAGAGGGAAAGGCGAGGGCAGCTCTGTGCACATCAGCTGGGAAGGCACTGGGACCTCGTGGCTCTGAATCACAAGCAGGTGCAAGTTGACAAACATGATGGGGGGTGCTCGGGGTCTGGTCTTCAATCAATTAGGGAGTCAAAGAGCAGCAGCCTTATGGGAGGTGGGAAATAGCTTTCCACTTAGGGAGGCAGGCAGAGGGAAGGCTGACAGTGCCAGCCATTAAGGCTTCCTGGAGGTCAGTAATTTCCCTATTAGAAAATGGGTGCTGAGCGAGGGGAAGGCTGGAAAGCCGTTCAGAGAGGTGAGGGGAGGGCAAATTGTCCTGTCTGGGCTCCATCCACGTTCCTGTGCAGATAGGGGCAGGGAGACAGTGTCCCACCATTCCTTGAGTAAGCACCTTCCCTCCAAATGCTCTTCCCTGGTTTGAAATAACCCTAATCCCACGCCAGGTGTTAGACACTGGGGTCATACTGCTGACACAGCCAGAGAAGTGTGTGTGGGGGGGGAAGTGACCTAAAAACAGGACAAAGGACTCAAGGGCAGGATGAGGTTCTCCAGAAATCTGCTTCTCGCTGCACAGGCACCCTGTTGCAGGACAGCTTTTGTTATTTCTCCTCAAAATGGCTTTTATCTCAGATCATTATCTGGCAAGGAACCCAGCCCGTTGTATGTGCTCTCATTGTACAATCTGCCACTACTTTTGCTCCCAATCATCTTTTTTTTTGGATTTTTTTGTTTTTTTTTTTTTTTTAATAAAAGAATTTCAAAGGCATTTTTGCCATACATATCCATTTGCACCTCTCCTGCCCATTCCTCAGCCCAGTGTACGTGTTCACTGATATCCCACAAGGGCCCCTTCAGAGACAGGTCAGGTCAAAAACTTTCACCATTTTAACAGGTGTTTAAGCATTACTGCCTCTTATTCTGAGCCACACCACCACATTTTGCTGGGGATTTAAAGCTGTTCCTAACCCACCCTGCTAAAATCTCAGATGCTCTGATTGCATTTCTCCTCTTCTCTTTCCCTCCCCTCCCATACTAATGAAAGAGGCCAGTCTTTAAAATAGAAATTAAATTCAAGCACCCACAAGACAATGCTGGGCTTAAATCCAACAGCATGTGAGGATCTTACTGTTAAAGCTGAACCTTATTCTCTGGCTGCACTGGCTTTCATCTCCTTGGTGTTTCTTGGGATAACATAATATCCTTGAAGGCAGTTTTCACCTCAGGGTGGAAAAGCTCCCGAGCTGAGGTAATGCATTTATCAGTGCTGGTTGGAATCTCCCTGAGAGTGTTAAGGCAGTTAATGCTCTCCAAACTATTGCAGAGCAGTGGAATCTGTAGTCTCCAACTCAGAATCAGGGAATCACTAAGGTTGGAAAAGCCCTCTGTGATCACCAAGCCCAACCTTTCGCCCAGCACTGTGTTCACCACTAATCCGTGTCCCCAAGTGCCACATCCACACGTTTTTTTTTGAACACTCCCAGGGATGGTGGTCCTACCACTTCCCTGCACGTCTTATTTGGTGTCCAGGGTAACCCAGAGATGGGTAACAAAAGAGAAGACTGGCCTAACTTTCAGTTCAGCTTAGTGAGAAAGGAGAAAGGCTTAATGAAGACCAAGTTTCTATCTGAATTCTGCCCTACATAGTCCTTGCAGCAGTGCAGCTATGCTGGTATTATTTTGACTAAAATAACTGTACAGGTGACAAGAAATGCCCAATATTGTTAACATTCTTTTTCTCCAAAGGAAGAGTGACGTTCACAGCCAAACAAACATCTTCACCAGGAGTCAGGACAGCTTAACCATGGCAGTTCAGACAATGCAACTGCTGCATGTAGGCAGTGCTGTAAGTGAGCAAGATTTTCAGGAAATCTGACAGAAAGAAAGAAAAAATAAGATTTTTTTTCCTCTGCAACATTGTCCCAATAACCCTTGGAGCTGAGTGCCTGGAGTCTGTGTCAGCACAGTGACACAGTTTTGGAAGGACGTGGTTGTGAAATCATTTGGCATCCACCGAATGCACTGACTTCAGCAGGAGCCACAGGTCTCTGCTCCTCTCTAGGACTGCAAGAACCTGCCAAGGCGGGTTTCCTCTGCCTCAGATCTCCTCTGAAGGCCACCACCACGGGCAAGATCACAGAGGAAATCGGTGTCAAAGGCGAAGGTGACGGACTGGCCAAGAAACCAAGCTTTTAACTCTTCTTATCCCCAGGATTCAGAGTAACAGAAACGATTCCCTTGTGCCAGCAGTGGAAGGAAAAACAGTCAACACAACTGAAATTGGGAATAGGAGAAGGCAGAAAAGGCACCAATGTTCAAAGCAGTAACGTTTATGTGGGTGTTTGTGATGGGACGTGCACACAGGACGCAGGGGGGGCAGCCAGGGGTGCAAGAGAGGGAAGCACAGGTTTGCTCGGGCCCTGACCTTGTTTTCCTACCACAGTTTAACCTATTTCTTCCTCTCAGTGGGGGACAATAAACCCTCAGCCCAATCCATGCCCATCAGGGAGGACACAACAGGTGAATTAAAGCAGAAAGCAGATGGGGCACTGTCTCTGCCGGGCCCCAGCTGTCGTGTCTGAGCTGTCTCGCCTTTATGCTGGGTTGTCTCCAGAGCCAGCCCCATCCCACCTTCCACCCCGCTCCCTGCCTGCTAATGACACTGGGATCACAGCCAGAGCCTGCTCCTTCCAGCAGGGCTGAGCAGGAGCGGGGCCAAGCTTCCCGTTCACGGCTCCAGAACAGCTGGAAACGTCCAGCCCTCCCCCTCTTTGGGACAGGAGGGCTGGGGGACCCTTTCCCAAGGGGAAAAATGCTTGGAAGTGCTGGAGGATTGGAGCAGTGGGTGTTCCCTGCCTGGGCACCAAGCACTGAATTTCTTTGCTTCCCTTCTTCCTGCACTCATCAGGAATGCCGCCTGCCCTGTTTGCTCCAGCTACTCCAGCTTTCCCCTCACACACACACACACACACTGCATCAGAGCTCCCGGGAAAACAAAAAGGAGAGCAACTGTACAAAAGCAATTAGAGCCTAATCTACCTGGTAAGAATCCCGTCCTCCTCGAAGGAAACAAGACAAAGCTTAAACAAGAGACCTTCAGACACGCTGATTGAGAGCTACTGGAGAGCACGGCAATGCCAAGCTGGGGGACCACTGCCTAATAACCACTAAGTATTTTTCCTTCATTTCCTAATAAACAAGGCAAAGCAATTACAGTAATTAAAGATTTAAGATAAGAGCACTTTATATTTGGGGGGCCCAGCATATCAATTATACAGTTATCATGTTGTTCTCCCTCCTAATGAGACAATCTAGCACTATAATTTTGCAGCATTAAAAGCATAATTAAAGGGGGCAGGAGAAGAAGGGCAGTTTACCAAAACTGATTAGGAGGGTTTCCTCTCCTCAGTGGCTCCTGTGCACACACAGAGCACAGATGCATTCCCCAAACACCCTTCCATTTCCAAGAGATAACCCTGGAACATGGCTGTTGGACAGCTGCAATGATAAACCCAGGCTTTAATTACAGGAGGGTTTTATGGGAAGAGCTGGTTGCTGTTTTGTTGTTTTTCTGCTGTTTTCTCCCTACTCCCAAGCTCTCGGTTGCTGAATGTACCAGCATCTGTTGGCAGGTAAGGGGGAAATAGCTTATCTTCTCAGAGGCAAGAAACACATAAAACATAAGAAAAGCAATTACATGCCTTCAGTTCCCACTCCTCTGTTTTTATAGGGCTTGTCTTAGAATCTGAGTGATTTTATGCATCAGAGGGAGATGACAATCAAGATGAGTGGCAATGATATGCATGGGAGGCTGAGGCACAGTGCCTTTACTTATCTATTTTCCTGTAGTTACAGCTTTTCTAAACTTCCTCTTTTTTTCAGAGGGATGGGAGAACCCAGAATTTTGCAGCTGAATACTGTGGAGCACTTGTGGACCACACACGAGAGCCCTATTGACAGTAACCATAATATAACGTTAACACAATCCCTTCTCCTCTTCCTCTAATTTCACAATTAGAGGAGAAATTCCAGGAGAATTCCAGGAGAAACGTGAGTGGTAGTGGGAAAAACAGGATCAAAGTATTTCAGCACTCCCTGGCAGGAAAGTACCTTCTTTTCATGATACTGATGTGGAGATCCTCCTCCTGCTTTACTTCGGGGTGCTGACCATTGCTCTTGTCGCTCTCTTCGCTGTCGTCACTATGCGAGAAAATGGAGGTGAGCTCTTTCTTCGGGATCCTGGTGGGAGGTAAAGGGATGGTTCTCTTCTCTGCCAGGCGGCCCCGGTTCTGGAATTGGTTGGAACGGGAAAGGGCAAGAGGAGGAGAGAAGAAAACAAGAATTTGGTCAGGAAACTCAAACCCAAGGAGCTGCTCTCAAAAGAGCTGCCCTGAGAAGGCAGCACTGTCAGTCCCTGCAGGGTTCCCACTGTTTGGGTGGGTGGGCAAAGGCCCTGCTCACTTTGCAGCAAAGGCATATCTGTATCTAATTTTTCCAGTTCTGACCAAGTCACGCCCTTCCAGCCTCTCCCACCTCTTCATTCCTAGCTTGTATCTGATCCACACTGATAGGAAAGGGAGATGGCACCAATCTCTCTCTCCAGAATATTTCCTACCCAACGTTTCACATTAGCCAGTAGCCCAGGGAAGCCATGATCCAGATAATCCAGAGCACTTCTGACTCTAAAGGGAAAACTGCCTGTGTTCAGCTCTATCTGTGACTGAGCAAGACAAGAGCACTGCCAGTGGAAGATGCACACTAGAAACCCAGGGAGACTGTGGGATGGGAACCACAGCGAGGGGAAGTGAAGTTCTGTGCACATGCTTTCCCTGAAACGTCCATTTCAACTTTCCAAGTAAACCTGGCAAAACACAAAGGTCCTGGGAAAGCCAAGTCAGGCTCTCTGCAGGGGAGAATCGGGAACGCTGAGCGATAGAACAGCCCGTGCTCTTTTAATTAAATAAATTAAGAACCTTCCACAAATACAAAACAAAAAACTTGTTTACCTCTGTCAATAAATTCCAGTTGTGCTCATTAAGGGGAGCCCTAATCGCTGTGGTAATTAGCTAAATCCATCTGGAAGGCATCACCCCAAGGAGCCACATTAGAGCTTTCCCACTCTGATGCAGGTCCAAGCCAAGAATGCAGCTGTCTGTGAACAGCAGACACCCAAGGGAGAGCAGAGCAGTGGGCCAAGCTGGCATAAAAAAAAAGGGGAAAACACGTCCACAAGGAGAAAGACACGCACTTTGTACACTGTGTGTGTCCCCAACCCTCATGCAGGAGGTGCATTTCCACCCCTGCCCCTCTCCTGCTCCACTGCAAACAGAGAATGTGCACCAAGTTCATCCCCTGCCCAAAATCGTCTCAGCAACACGAGCCCGCTCAGGGCCAGAGGGACAGCAGGGAGGTGAGGAGAGAAAGGGAAAAGCGAGGGGGTGGGAAGGAAAAGCAAGGAGGGGCAGTATTTGCACCAGACTTCTGTCATGTACCAGCATGAGCTTCGTCATCCAAAGCTTTCTGTATTTTTCAGGAGCTGCAGTTAAAGGGGACGGGGAGGGAGGGGGCATTTCCACTCCAGAATAATTGCAATTCACTCTCTGCTGTGACTTCACAGGCTAAAGAGAACGGCACAGATCAGACACTAAAAATCATTTCATGGCCATTATGGCACCTTGGAGCAGTTAGCAGCTCTCAGTGACTGCCCAGGGACTCGTCAGCCCTGAGAAGAGTGAGAGTGCAGCAAAAGAGGGAGGCCCAGAAACAGCCCCCCCAGGCCACAGCACGGGTCCCCCCTTTCCCCTGCTCCTCAGGGTGCTTTTTCTTTGCCTTTCTGTGACTCATATCCTTACTCCTGAAGCTGCTGCACATGCACACACATATGTAACTGATACACAAACACTGCAGATGTACCTATGTAAGTAACACCTAACACATCTTCCCTTAAAAGACAAATAAATGAGCATGAATGGAGGAAGAGAATTTGTATCTGCAGCGACCTCTGCTCACAGGTGGCCTGCCCTGCTTTTGTAGGACAGCAGGAACCAGAACCACAGTGGCTCCAGTGTCCCTGTGAACCCCAGCATTCCAGCCCCAGCAATGCATCTTTTTAAAGTTCTGTTTACTCTGTAATTTGCGTTTTTTGCCATCAGGTTTGGGGTGCTTTATTTATTTATTTATTTATTTACTGCATTTCTCAGGTCCGCAGAAAATTAAAATAGACCGAGCCAATCAATTTTGCCTTTTATATTCATCTATAGTCAGTTTTGAATCAATTGCACTTTCTTAATCTGTTTAGAGGCATTCACCAGTAGCTACACATTACTTTTAAATTAAGCACAAAGGTAGCCAGAAGCCTGGCCCAGAACCTGCTACAATCAATTGCCTTTCCATTGACTTGAAAGGGCGCTGGTCCAAGATGCAAACAACAACAACAAAAAAAAACATTTAAAAAAACACACAGGAATCTTTCCTGGCTTTTGCTGAAGTTCTTTTTCAGCTGTACACAGAGATTTTAGAACAGGAATGCACCTGCAGAGGTGAGCAGGGTGTGGAACAATCTGGTCTAGTGGAAGGTGTCCTTGCCCAGGGCAGGAGGTGGAACTGGATGATCTTTAAAACTCCTTCCAACCCAAACCATTCCATGATTCAATGATTCTATGCTTGGGAAAACAACCCAAACCCAACAGTCACTTTGAGAGCCAGGCACCTGGGACACTACTTTCCCCATTAAATAACCCCATTTTTACACACCTGAAGGAGGAAAGGTGTGCTCTGCCAGCTGGCCTGTTTAAACCAGTGGGACTGTTTTGGCTAGTGAGTCAGAAAGGAGCATTTTCTGGGGCTGCAGAGCCAGCAGCTGTCCCAGGAGGGGCAGAACCTCCAGCAAAAAATGAAGGACACATAGCAGTAAATTCAGCTCACGGCTCATCCAGCACAGCCAGCCTGCCAGCTGCCCAGTCCAGGAGGACAGACAGACAGTGGCAAGGAACAGAGGATGTCCCTGAGAGCAAGGGGGGCATGGGACCCCCCCACTGAGGACCTGTTCTGTGGGTGGAACAGCTAAATGGCACAGGTAATAACAAACCTGCAACAAACCCTCCAACAACCCCTCGAGGGCCTGAGAGGAGCCCAACCAAAGTGATTCCCTTCAGCTCAGGGGAAACCTCTCCAGGCTTGCACCCTCCTTTCACAAGCAAGAGGATTTCCCCCAGCCCTTGGACAGAGGGGTGGAGAACACACCATCCCTCACCCGCTTCTTTAATCAGCGGAACTAGAAAGCAAAACGTTCCTGCAATTCCCCAAAGCCCTTTGCGAGGGTGAGCGCTGAGGGCACTGCAGAACTGCCTCGTGCATCAGGACTCCCTTCCCCTTCCTACACTGTTAAAGATTAATTTTGTGGGTTATGATTCCAGCTAACGAAGCACAGCTGGAGTTTGAGTCAATAAACCCTCCGCCCCAGACAATCGAGCTCCCGCCCGGCCGCTCCTGCGTCAGCCCAGCCCTCCCTCACTCACCACTTCACCCTCCCAGGGTCTTTTGACACCATTAATTGCTTTCATTGCCTCTCAAAGTATTGTCTGGGTGGGGGGTTGCTTTGTTTTTAAAAAAATCACAGACAGGCATATTTCCTTCCCCCGGGAAAAAAAAAAAAAAAATCAGATGGGTACCAGCACGCTATTTCAAGTCACCCGTTATCCCAGAGATTCAACTGCAATTAAAATAAAAAAAAACAAACAAACAAACAAAAAAAAAAACACCAAAACACCCAACAACCTGAGGACACCAGCAGATGCCCCAGGGGAGAAGCCTGGGAGCCCCATCGTTTTGCCATGGAAGGCAAGGACCATCGGAAAGATGGAAAAGAAAACAGCGGGGATGTTTCTTCCAGAGAGCTGGGGGAAAATCTCGCTCCGTGTGGCTAAACGAGGTCAGCAGAGTTACAAAATAAAACCTCTCTTCCTCCCCCCCCCACCCACCCACCCACCCATCGAACCCCCTCGTGGCTCTCCCCAAGAGCCCTGCCCTCCCCAGCCAAGAATACCAAAATCCAAACTGGTTGCATAAGAGCCCTGGGAGAGCTGGCAGATGGAATGACGGGCGGAGAGAGCATGGGACCAACTTGGGGGAGAGACAGGAAGGGAGGGTTAGGAAAGGTTTCCTGCCCTGGGAGCTACTGCAACAAGGTCAAAACAGCTGAACGCCCTGGTGTGACATTCAAAGTCAGCCGGAGAAGGAAAGATTCCTTGCCGAGAGAGAGTCCCTGGTGAGCGTTTAATTGATCCCAGCAATGGCAAGGCCTCTGCTCCGAGAGCTGCAAGGCAGAAAAAAAGCTCCACGGAAACAAAAATATAATGTACGTGAAAGCAAAGCTTTTGCCGGTCCACATTAACTGCCAGCCAAACTCTGGACATCTGATCCCGTTGGGAATTGGCCCAAGCAGATGAGCAGGTGCAGTCCCTGCAGTCACCACTTCTCCAGAATCCAAGCCAGTACCATTAAAAAAAAAAAAAAAGGCACAGAAATGCAAATGCACAAAGAATTTACACACACACACAAATATCAAAGCTGTTTGCAAGATGATTCACGTGTCTGTGATTCAACTCTCTAAAATAATTACTATTGGATAAAAAAGGAAAAAAAAAACTGCAGGGGAAAAAAAAAAAAAAAAAAAAGAAAAAAAAAAAAAAGCCCAGCACATGCATTCCTTCTGCATACGTAAAGCTGGGAAATACAGGGAGCAGACTGGGAATGCTGGGGGGAGGTAAGAGGGGAGGGTTTGTGCTCTGCCAATGCTGGGAGCTGGAGGATTCTAAATCTTTTCCATATGTGAAGGAAATCCTCGAGTCCAGACAGCATTTTCTCCCTCTTTTTATTGATAATAAAGATAGGGAAAAGGAAAGGGGGAGGTTCTGAGAGCCCGGAATATTTTTCTTTTACTTTTCCAAATAATAAACCCACTCAAATGGCTTTAATTAGGGAAATTACACAGCAAGGGAGACCACACATCCCCCTGTAGAATAACTGACAGAGTTTGCATTTACCTTCAGCTGTGATTAGTGTAAACACCTACGAAAGGGTCAAGTTGCCTTCCAAGATAATCCTCCCCTCTCCCCTGGGCCTTCATTAGCTGTTCCAGCCCAACGTTGCTACCAGGACTGTTTCGGTAGCAAATCCGGCCCAGGCACAGCTCTGCTGCCCTGAGCTTACCAGCATCTCCATCAAAACAGAGGTCACAGACAGAGGAAGGTGCCCAGGCTCTCATCCCACCTCCTGCTCTGCTGTTCAG